ATATAAAAAATAAGTTTGAACAATTGCCCACTCTGTATTTTGATGTTGCACTGAATTCGAAATAGCAAAGGTATCCTAAATCAGACCGATGTCATCTTTCTTTAACGGCGGGACGTGTTTGCCGGGATCTGGTGAATATTCGCCGTGTTTAGTCTACAAATCAGTCCGGTGACGGGGAGTCTGTATGCCGGGACAGGAGCAGCCGGCGGGGCGCTTTGTAACGCCGCAGCACCGCAAGTTTATCCTCAGCACTGACATTACCAAAACACAATTAAAGTGTTTCAAACGCGGCCCTGCTTTATATAATGCGCCGCCGACCGGGATAAATGGGTAAATTGAGAGATCACACGTGTGCCTTCAGTGAAAGCTTATATATAGAAAAGGCGAATGTTGTGCTTTGTTTTTATGTATATTTTACTCTGTAGACATGTAATTTTGATGCATCGGGAATATGTAACGTTAATAAGAGATGCTTGTTCTAATTACTGCGCTGTTCCGTATCGGTTAAGAATTACAATTAAGTGCTTTTTTTGTTTCCAAAGCAGAATTTCTCCTCAGTCTGGAAAGTTGGCTTTGCGTCGTTCCCGTGAAGAAAGACATCCTGACTCGAGGCGGCAGTCCTAAATTCAATACGTCAGTGCTTCCCATTTCTGCTTTTGCAGGTTTTTAGTGTACCTGAGACAATTACTGTATATATTCAGTAGGGCCAAAATAGCATATTCTCTTAGTACTGATCATGATACGAATTTAAACGCTATGAAATAAATGAACTTGCATACACTAATACCCACATCACCCTCTCTTGGGAGTCCTATGGGTGCGTCTACAGCCCAACGCAAGTTAGATAGGCCTAAGTAAACTGAGATGCCGTAAGAGACCCGAACCTACTAACGTAGCAGTAACATCTGCTTACAAATATATGCAGTGCCATCTAGTGGATAAATTAAAATATTATATATGCTTCTTTTGTACTACTGCAGATTTGACTGACGTACACGCGTTGGTATCGCAATATAGTGACTGGATGATGAATGTATGGATGAAAGTATTTGGCAGGCATCTAATAAATATATGTCTATCTGCAGTTAATGGATATTAAATAATACTCGTGAAGTGAGGCAGGTCTCCAAGCAGTTTCAGTGAGTTTATAACATAAATGCTAATGACGGAGATGACACCACTATGTATAACTTAGCTCTGTCTGTTTCATTCTTTTTTTCTGTCCACGCATTAAGCTTTAAAACCTTTAAGGTTTTGCCAAAAAGTATGATCATTTGGTGGGGGCTGGCTTCCTGCCCTGTCAGCCATTGTACAAGCTCAGCTGTGCGCAGCTTTTAATACACCGGGGGGTGGGGGGTGGAGACTGATGAGCCGCTGTCCCATTGGCTATACTTAGTGCCTTCTGGCTAAATGTTTGGCTATCTGAATGGCAGGGCTGAGTAATCAGAGGCCATGATGTTCAGGGTGAGGTCAGATTGCACCCCCCCCCCCATCCATCTTACCTTTGCTGCACTTCAGCCAGTCTTGGTCTTCACTCTGCCTCTTATTAAACGGCCGTGTCCATGTATGACACTTGAGTTTCAGAGCGCTTTTGGGATTGTGTGTGTTTCAGTGTCAGAGCTTGTACAATAAAATAGAAAATAAGTCTAAGCTTTGTAGTGTAGTGAAGTGTATAGTATAGTATAGTATAGTATGGTGTAGTATAGTATAGCACAGTATAATATAGTATAGTACAAGACAAATCAGTACAGTATGTTTAAGTAGTCACAAATTGTATGTTTAGTTAAACCTGGTACAAAATATAGGTCTATAGCAGCATTTTACTGTTTTATATTTTGTGGCTGGGAATGCTGGGATTGTGCTGACAGGACTTCTACATCCAAAGAATGATCAGTATCTCTAATCTCCATCTTCTCCGTGGAGTATGACTCTGCAGATCTGGGGCTCTGGGACTGCGGAGCGCCATTTACTCCATGCGGCATTTATTCAAGTCACACGTTCTGTTCTGGAATATTCCGCACGTGAAAAGGAGGGGGAAAAACAGCTCAGGGCGAAATGAATCGGGGGGGCCGATTCTGCCCAATAAGACCCAATAAGTGAAACCCGACGCTCTATAGATGGTTCTGTCCTGGGCGGCACGTGGAGAATAAGCTGTGGGAATACACATGCTACATGCCATGTGCTGAATGTGTACTATGAGGTCACTGCCATGTCATGCTACTGTGCAAGACAACACAAGAGCACTAGGAGTCAACTTCTCATAACGTCAACATGACGCGCTCCAGGGCCTAGCTACACAGGTCTGGTACCGTCAGGTCATGTTCCCTACCATATGTAGTCTTCACCTTTCTTATCCTCTGCCCTCATGAGCTGGGGGGGGGCACGTCCCCACAGACATCCTCCATCACTACTCAGGACACCTGGATCTGTTTTAATGATCAATCCTATGATACAAAGGTGTGACACGTAAAGTTGTAAACTGTCTCACCCGCTTCGGTTAAATGCCACCCTGACCCTAATAATGATTTCCGCGACCCTGAATGGTTTAGGTGCAGAGCTTCTTAACTCGGTCCTTGGGGACAGCCAGACAGTCCATGTTTTTGCTCCCTCCCAGCTCCCAGCCAATCAGGAACACCGAATACCTGGTACAGGTACATTGGGAGCTGGGAGGGAGCAAAAATGTGGACCGGCTAGGGGTCACTGGAGGACCGGGTTGGGAATCTTTGGTAGGCCTGTAGTGGTTTAGGGAGAATAAGAGGAAACCTCAGAAAAATGAGTCTGCAGTGAGAATGAATCTAACGGCAGGAGCTTGTCATGCAGCAGAACTTCAGGTTACCCCCCTCCCTCACACACACACACACACACACACATATAATACACCCAACATGCACACCTCCCCCATCATCACGGACTTAACTCTGAGCAAGCTATTGGCACGCCTGCGTCCGTGAATCCGCATCTGCAATAATAAGAGTTTCTCTGTTCGCAAGACGTCTACTAAGCTGGTACTTACAGGGCTGCAGCGGCGAAGAGCTCCGACTGTTTCACGGAGGGTGTCTAGACACCTTTAAAAAGAAAAACTACAGGACAGTCATAGGTCCCACCGACCTGACGCCGAAATAGAAATCTGTAATTTAATTACAAAAATACACACTCAATGCATATTTTAAAACATGCCCAAAATATATTTACGACGAAGTCTCCATTCGCTAACAGGACCGAAATACATTTGGTTTAAGTAAAAACAAAGCTTAAAAACCCAAAACCTACTGACGCTAGAAAGCACCGGCCAGTTGTTGCATCTAATTGGCGAGTCCCAGAATAGGCTCTCGGGCACACGGGATCTGTGCGTGACCCCAGATTCAGCCGGCAGCTCGGGGAGAGGGCCACGGCCTAGTTAATGGGCCTGGGGGGAAGCCTGTGGTTTTTAAATCAGTTCCCGTCATGCTCTGGACCTCAAGGGGGCATAACGGAAGCCCGAGGAGAGAGAGGCCATTACAAAGGGTGGATGGGGGCGAGGCCTGGCGGGGTCACAGCTTCGACCAATTAACATTCCTCTCGGCTTTACGGGCAGGGACAAGGCCCGCCCCTTCACCGGCACCTCGTAAAAGTCACGGGCATCAATTCTCCTGAACCATAACTGTCATTATAATCCCATTAAAAACAACCTGCAGGACAATTTACAGTGCCGACCCAAGCTATGCTGCCAGCCGCATAAAAATACTCAGGCACACCGGCCCGGTGAGTGAAAAAGTTCAATTTTTTTGCCAAAAATTGCAGCAGTGCCGCAAACTTTTTCCCCTCCTTGTATTCCAAATTTGGTCATTAGTCTGGGTGTATCTGAAGGCCCCATTTTCCCTCCATGCAGTACTGAGTGAATCTGTTTGCATCCTGTGGGTCACATGATGTTCTAGGGGACGAGCTGATTGGATGAGTGGTACACACCCTCCTTGGCTGGCAACCTGCAGGCACCTAACCGGCCTGTAGGGGGTGCTCACGAAATCTTGCTTGTCAGGATATCTTAGCCAGCGTGAATTAGATGTAGACCAGATCTGCCTAATTTAAAACTAAATGTTTAATTAGTGGAGAGCCAGCTATTTCAGACTTTCATCAGTTCCCTGCTCATCCCAGCACATTCCTGGCAGGATTGTACACGTTCTTTCTGTGTTGAATTGAGTAGCCAATCTTGCCCCTAGTGTGTATGTATGCGATTCATTTTCCTGCAATAGGATAGACTCTGGGTGAGCACTGCGCTAATCGAAAAGTGGCCATTAAAGGGGAAGAAACTTCTTTCTGCTGGGGTTAAAGGTCACAGCGCTGCATCACAATGCTGTCATTATAAAATGACCAGAAGCAATCCTGGCATTAATAACTCAGAAATCTGACATTTAACTCAACAGCACCCTCTAGTGGAATATCACCTACAAGCTGGGAGACCCGGTGTTTTTCCTATTTATTTCATCCAAAGCGCCACACATTTTTGAGAATGCAGGGGCAGCAAGTCACTGGAGCAACTGAGGGTTTAAGGCTTTTTCTCACTCAGAGACCCAATGATCACTAGACTAATTTGCAGAGGTGGATTTACGCTCAGCTGTTTGGTTGAAATAAAATCCTGGTCTGGATTTTCACTTTCTGGTCCTGAACTATTCACCTCTGCTAATTTGAACCACTGACCTTTGGGTTACAAATACAGCATTCCAACCCACTGAGCCACGCAAGACAATGTTAACATTTTTTTTTATTATTTAGCAAATGCTTTTGTTCACACTGTCATACAAGTGAGGTAAACAACACATTACGAACATTCAGTCAACTAGGCATATCTCCATCTAGGCCAAGGGTCTCAGACTCCAGTCCTGGGGGGCCGGAGCCCTGCACATTTTTGGGTTTCCCCTCATTTAACACACCAGATTCGACTCCTTGTGCTAATTACCACACAGCTCTTGAGCTGAATCACTTGTGATGGAATAGGGAAAGAACTAAGCTACACAGGGCTCCGGCCCCCCAGGACTGCGGTTTGAGACCCCTGATCTAGGCTGAGCATCCTATGAATGCCCGGGTATGATTGTAAGCTGTTTTGGAGCAGGCAGGCAAAACTATTGAAATCAGCAGAAGCGCAACACTGAGAGCATCGAGCAGATTTGATTGTCAACAATCAGACAAAACGGCAAATCAGCACATTCTGTAATGTAAAATTCACAATGAAGAAGCTTCCTCGACGTGCATTAAGTGCAACTTGTGGACTGCTGGTGATTATAATCAGGGTGTGCTTGTTCTATCCAATAAAAAAAGGGGTCTTTAATTATGTAAGAGAAAGCAGAAAGCCTGAAGGTCATGTGATTCACATTGCAAGTTAAAAATGCCCAGGTACCCCGACCTGCAGCGGTCGACGGCACCTCACATGTCTCACGTCTCCTCGTAGAGAACGTGGGTGTAGCTCAGAGCGGAAGCATGGATGACAGATTGGCAAGATCTTCAGAGACCTTGGGAAACGGAATGTCTCCAGTATGTTTTTTGGTCACCATCAGCGCCGACCCGTTCTTACTCTCGTCTGTAGCCAGTTGCAGAAATGCTTCGGCAACCACGGAAACACTGTAAATAAATAAATAAATAAAATGGGAAAATGCCATTCATTTCTGACTGTCCTGTAACACCTTACAACAAGCAGCAGTGTCATTAGGGTGCTGTGGACAGAGGCCTATTTTTTGTTTCTGGGGCAAGTACAATTCCCACAAACTTTCAAAAACTAAATAAATAGCTAGCAAGCAGTCAGAAGATTGTAGCTAGATGGGGCCTGTATCACGAAAGCTGGTTCAGCAAAGTCAGGCTTCAAAGATAAGTTTTAGCTCAACTACACCAAACGATTGAAATCCAAGGATAAATGGTATCACGATGCTATCATCAATCTATGTCATACCAGGTGTTCTTACCAAAACCAAGACTACTACTTCAGCACACGCATATAAAAGCATACTGAGTGCAACTATACATTTAATTCCGACGTATTGCCATAGGTATGTAAAATCAAGCACCTAGCCATGCAGTCAGGTTTACATACATTTGTGACAGAATGGGTCATTCTGAAGAGCTCAGTGAATTCAAGCACAGTACTGTCATAGGATGCTACCTTTCTTCCCTGCTATTCTATGGTCAGCTGTAAGTGGTATTATTGCATAGTGGAAGTGTTTATGAACAACAGAAGGTCACGTAAGGTAACAGAGCAGGGTCACAGAGTGTGTAAAAGTCGACAAATCGGCTGTGATTAAAAACAACCTGGCCTTCTTGTTGAAAGACAATACAGCGGGTAGACTGAATATCGAACATACAGCTCTGACCCTGAATGGTCAGAAAATCCCATTTGCTATGTGAGGTAATGTACCAACTTCATCTCTTTGACTGGTCCAAGCACAGTCTGAGATCCTGATCCTAATAGTTAACCCACTCTGGAGTAGGTTAGCCGTGTAGCATGAGTTACCAAGGTGATGTGTTCCTTTAAAAAGACAACCAGCATTGTGATATTGAAAAGCCAGAGTTAACACTACTCATCCTCAAAGTTATCCTCAGCAAGGAATCCAGCTTTGTGATACAGGTCCCTGGTTAACAGAACATGCTGTTTCAGCATCTCCTAAATAAGGAACGCATTTATTTAATATGTAGTGTAGTAACTCTTTTTGGCCAAGAGGGGGGGGGGCACACCTCAGCAGCCCCATGCAAATTTGTGTTTTCAGTGGTAGTAAACAACACCGCTGTCTGTGGAACAAACCCATTTTTTGTTTTTTGCTTTTTTGAATGAAACAAAGATCTTTCAAAGTTAGAGACAGACATTAAGTTGGATTGTGTCACACTCACTCCAGAATCCCTACGGTATTTATTATCTTCCGGTTCATCTCCTGGAGGCTGGGGATGTCTTTAACGGTGTCCGCAGAATACATGGATGAGAGAATGGCTGTTTCGGCGAAAGACGGACACAGAGTGTTGATTCTCACACCAAAGTTGCATACCCTGGACAAATCCTGGGAGACACGGAAAGACATTTGTCAAAGTTGTTATATTAGGTTGTTAATTTTCTTTTTCGTACCACGTTCATGAAGTTAGGGGAGCTTTACATTGTACATATTGTGGTTTAGCACAGAGGTAGGCAACCCTGATCCTTGCATGCCGGTACCCTGCAGGTTTTCCACCCTATCTGGTGGGTTACTATCTGCCTGAGATCAGGTGTGGATGGAGAACCTGCTGGACAACGGCACTCCAGGATCAGGGTTGCAAACTCCTGGCCTAGCGTGTTCCCTGTGATGGACTGGCATCTCCAGGGTGCTTGCTGCCTCATCTCCTACCCAAGGCAGAGGGCACATGCTATATGACGATAGACAGGAAGTGCCCATTTACAGCTGTTGGTTCTTACCCACCCTGAAGGAACTTGCCCCACCCCCTAAAATCCAAAATGGAGAAATCACTTACGGAGATAGCGCGGCTGAACCCCAGCACTCCATGTTTGGTGGCCGTGTAGATCGGAGCAGTCAGCAGGGGAAGGATCCCTGCGAGAAACATCCGTGGGCTCCCTTTAGCCTCCTAGCTGGTTCAGCTACCCATCCTTAGCTTCATTTGATAGCCTACCAGATGGTACTATAGAAGGAGCTTTTATCCTCAGGTCATAAGGCTCCTCAGGACCAGAGAGTACAAATCCAGACCTAGATTTTGTTTCAACCAACCACTTGCGTATGAAGAGTCACAGTCACAGAGTACTCATCTGTGGGGTGATGGTGGTGCAGGAGGTAGTGCTACCGTTCGGCAACCGGAGCAGGTTCGAGCCCCGGGTCCTGACCCCATCGAAGTTGGGACCTTGCATGGCAGCCTCCGCCACCGGTGTGTGAATGTGTGGTGTGAATGTGAGGCATAGATTGTAAAGCGCTTTGGTACTCGTAAGAGTAGTAAAAAGCGTTATATAAATGCAGTCCATTTACTCACCTGGTTGGTTGAAACAAAATCTTGGTCTGGATTTGTACTATCCGGCCCTAAATTCTCCACCTCTGCTCAAGATGCCTCACGTTCATTAGTACCCACACTTGACAATGCACTACTGCATTGTAGAGATGCACCGATACAGATATTCGGATCGGTATCGGCGCCGATCCAGACCTATTTCACGGATCGGGTATCGGCCATGCGTGACCGATCCATGTCCTATACTTACTTATTTAGTTTTTGGCAATCAATCGCACGACAGCTCTTTCCCATTTTACATGTGTTTTTTTGCAGCATTCAAATCGAACGCTATCGCTGCCCCTCAGTCTTTTTTGCTACTCAGTGGGTGTGAGTACAGTGACTTCCGCCTGCTGTGACGTCATGCGCATACCCTTCGCAGTACGAGGAGCGTAAGATAAGACGTGACGATCTGGGAGTATTTTACGCTTTTGACAGAAACCAGTAGCACAGCGATTTGCAATCTATGTAAAATAAAGTTTTGAGGTGGGAATAGCATTTAATGGACAACCCCATTTAACAAAGCGCACGCAGCTGCGAGATGATTTGGGAGTCGCTAACTTAATTGGACCGTTTCGCAAACTCGCTGCAGCTTGTGATACCAGAGGGGCTGCCATCGCAATAAAAGTGTAACTGCGCTGACGCCAATGGGAGAAAAACTGTGTTAAAATTTTAAGCATTCGCCACTTGTGTATACTTGCTTTGAAGAAATTCATATTGAACTGCAAATGCCTCAAAAACACTTAAAACAAATGAGGTGGAACAGTACGTTATGTATGTTTGTAGCCTTTTTGTCATACATTTTTTTCCCCATCTATATTTACTAGCTTAAAAAAAATTATATATAAAGTATAACAAAATAAAAAGAGCTCTTGTATCGGAATCTGTATCGGTATCGGCAGTGTATCGGAATCAGATCGGAACTGAAAAAATGTGGATCGCCCATCTCTACTACATTAATTGTGTATCTCAGTATTGTTTATTTCAATTCAGATCCAGCCTGTAATTTACCATTATTGTGGACACACTACCCTCATTGCTGTCATTGTGCTTATGACAATTTTACTTGCACAAAAATGTACTGAGGGCAGAAAAAAACAATGATTGGTTATGTCTCTGAACCTATCAGATTGTAGAGGAGGTTATTCCAGCACCTGAAGCAGAGGCACACAGCGGAGTGGGAGAAGTGCAGCTCCCAGCGAAATGAAAATACCCGCAGCACCAGGACAACATCCGAAGTTCAGCAAGCAACCGTCCCTGACACGTTTTCGAACTGTGTGCCATATGATAAGAATGGGGCACGGTGGAAGGAGATAAACGCTGTCACGACGTATATTGCAAAAGACACGGTGCCCATACATACTGTGGAAAAGCCGGGATTCATTAACATGCTAAAAGTTTTTACAAGTTTCTAAAAGTGTTTACAATGGCGTGGTCTGCCATCTCACTTACAAGCATATTTTTTGGCTTCTCAGAATGCACTTTAAAGTAAAAAAAGTAAAAAGTTAAAACTTGTTTTGAACCATTTATTTGTCGTCTGAAGTTTGATTTTGAGTGAGGGAGGGGAAATCGATTAAAGTCGAAAATCGGATTTATTGTGAGAAAAATTGGAGATTTTATTTTCAGGACATATCGCCCGGCTCTAGCTTGAACCCATCTCCTCTACAGTCTGATTAGTTATCTCCTTGAACGAATCATTTTTCCTTCTGCCCTCAGAACACTTTTGTGCTCCATAAGCTGCCACTGCTCTCCTGCATGTCTCCTCGAAACACCATTTGCTCGTCTGTTCTAACAAAACAACAACAATTACTTTATAACCTCAGTTAAGTGCAAGTACCAATTGCTTATTTGTTATCTATTTGTTAGATTTAAGCTATTGTATCATTAGCTTTTAAGTAAACTGCAAATGGGGTAGGTCTTGACCATCATCTGTGCAACTCTCATTGCAATTGTAGGCTAATTTTAATAGCTCATGCTGTACAGCTGGGTCACTTGCGCATTAGCTGGTATGCATGATCTCTGCTGTTTGAAATGCAGACATTCTATTCACACATGGATCCAATCAGCGCCTCCTAGTGGTAGGCTATTAAGCACATACCCGCCATCGAAGCCACGTTGATGATGACCCCTCCATGGCCTCCATTTTGCTTCTTCATGTACGAAAGGGCCAGGTATGTGCCCCTTATAACTCCACCCTGCAAAGATACACCGACACACCTCATTACGGAGTAAACAAGAACTTATCATCCCCCATCACACTAAATACAATGTTATCAGCTCACATGACTGACAGGCTTCACTATAATCTGTGCACTTGGATGTTTACTTAACGTTCTACTGAATTATTGTCCATAGACAGGGTTCATGAAGGTCTAAAAATCAGCAAGCAGTTATGGGCAAAAGGTTAATGGTTTGTATTGGTAACACATTTACAGGTGGTTAACATACTGTGTTGACACACTGAAACTCCCAGTTTCCCAATGTCTTGGCGTCATACAGGGGCAGTTCTGGGGGGGTGGGGGGAGTACCCCCATGACAACACGCATGGTCCCCCTAAATATGTATCCTACTTGGGTCTGAAATAAATGTATTATTGTTATTTACATTTATGTTTGTGGGCTAAAATTTTGTGCGCTGAGGACAGGCAAAACACAAACATAAAATAAAGGTCAAATGCATCTGGCCCCACAACCAGAGTAACTGCACCCAGTTAAAATGGTCTCGAACAGGGGTGTCAAACTCCTGTCCTGGGGGGCCGGAGCCCTGCATGTTTTTGAGTTTCCACCCGTATAACACACCCGATTCAACTCCTTGTGCTAATTACCACACAGCCCTTGAGCTGAATAATTTGTGGTGGAACAGGGAAAGAGCTAAGCTCCACAGGGCTGCGGCCCCCCAGGACTGGAGCTTGACACCCCTGATCTAGAAACTCCACTGGTGCCTTCACATTTTAATCCCCATTCTGCCCATTCCACACATTCTAAACATGCAGAAACTTGCTCTCTGCCCACGCTACAAGACTTGTACACCTCCCACTGCCTTGGCAGGGCTAAAAACATTTTGAAGAACCCCTTGCATACTGGTTTTTACCTGTTTGACCTGTCAACCTCTGGTAGCCACCACAGGTCCATCAAACAAAGCACAAGCAGACTCGGGGATAGCTTCTCTCCCACAGACACAACACTGAACTTCAAAACGCACTGACCATCTCCCTCTGGGTCTCTGTCTCCATTTCTGTCTCTCTCTCCCCTCTCTGGATATGCAATAAGTCTCATTTTCAACCTACCCAAGCTTTCCCACGCCATACCACAGCTGCGTTCCCTCCGCTGTCTTCCTGTAGTTGCCCGCATCAGATTCAAAACACTGATGTTCGCCGACAAAGCTAAAAATGTAGCAGCACCCTCCTATCTAAATGAACTTATCACACCGTCCTCCAGCACTGCTTGCCTGGTCTCACCATCTCTAAAACCAAAAGGCAGACATGCACCTAAACTCTTCTCTGTTTTGGCACCTATGTGGCGGAATGAACTTCCACTAGATGTCCAAAAAGCTAAGTCACGCCTTCAAACGACAACTAAAAATCTACCTCTTTCAAAAGTACTTGGATTAGCGCTTTCAGGATAATACTCTTTAAAAAAATAAAAAAAAAAAAACTACTTGCCAACAGAGTTTTTAGAGTGATAGTATTCTTAGCTGGGTTCTATTGAACCAGTATCAGAACGTATTGGCTAATGAGACTCCTAAGCATTTACGTAAGTTGCTCTGGTTAAGGACGTCCGCCAAATAAATGTAATTGTAAATTCTCTCTGTGAAATAATTACAGCAAAGTACAATATTTGCTCTATGTGCAATATTTTACATTTGTAATTCTGTGTGATATTCATATTATTGGTAATTCATTGCAAATAGTATTTATACGTAATACTTCTTACATTTACTGTGTAAATGACTGAATGTTTGTTTCCACATTACGTGTGCACAGTAGCTATTTTACAATTTAGTTATACATGGTATAATGACAATAAAAGGCTTTGAATTCTAAACCAGTGCGCCACCTCACCAGATTGGTGGCCAGCGCCCTTTCCCAGTCCTTCTCGTCGACGATGCCGGCATTATTGCACACGATGTCGATCTTGTGGAACTTCTTGATGGCCGCCTCGAACGCTTCTGTGGGAAATAAACGGCACAAACTTTACTACGTTTCAGCTGGGAAATGTCTGGTATGGGAATTCCAGAGAAGGCTGACGTGAATCGCATTTGTATGACTTGAACCGCGACCTGTGTTGATAGCGATGCTGGTGTCTAAGTTCTCCCCTAAACTGGACCGGTCTCATTTAAATTTCATAATCTTTGGTTCTAGGGATAACCTTCATTCATATATTTTTCCAGAATAGTAAAATATATTTCATTAATTTCTCCTATTCTTTGACTAAAAAACAACATGCATGACATCTTAATTCAGTTTTATGATTCCAATACACTCTCAAGCATATGCATATAGGACTGTTTCAAAATATCAGCTTCAGAATAACAGTCTTGCAAATATCTTGTGGTTTCCTTGTCGAATACTAAACAGTCAAATTAACTTCATGTCTGAGGCAAACAGCTGCACATTGCAACACTTCCCCCCACAAAAGAAACGCATCACCATTGTTGTGTAAAGCTTACTAAATGTCTAGCCATAGTTGAGGGTTTATAGTTGATATGGTGATAGTTTTATTATGTCTTGAAATTGTTTTGTCTGTTCTGGGTTTTGCACATTTGGATATAACTATCACTGGAATTTGACACGGAGGAAAAGAGTTACAATATACTGCATAAAAACCTTTAGATGTGCTTGTCTGCATTTAAGACAGATTAATAATTATAGTTATAATTGTAATAAGTATAATAATATGGTGCATGTTTATTTGATTATTATTATTAATAATAATGATAGTAATATTAATAATACTAATAATAATAATAATAATAATAACTGGGAGCAGAAAGCAACAAGTAGCCCATCCCTGAACCGGGCCCAGGGGTGGCCAATCTTATCTGCCAAGGGCCGGTGTGTGTGCAGGTTTTTGGGATAACCCTTGGGTCAGTTGTTCAAACCCAAGGGTGAAGACTCTTCAGCCAATCAGTCCTCTAATTATGGTGTTGCAGCGAAAACCCGCACTCACAGCGGCCTTTTCTCCAAAAGATTGCCCACCCATGGGCTAGGCTGTCAGCTAAATATCCATTGGCTGAACAATCCATACATTCTTAGATATTAAGCAACGTGCAACACACATGACTCGAGTTTCGCAATGGAATTTTGGGAACTGATACAAGTAAGTAAGTAAGTGAGTGAACTTTATTGTCATTCACACCATACAACGGATGCATGATATGATATGAACTGATCTGGGAACTGATATGAAATGACAGGGAAACCCTGATTAACATCACTCAGAGCAAGGGAAATCAGGAAGTGGGGGTGGAATCCCCGTTAGCACAGCCAGTACAACGAAGAACTGAGTACTTTGTATTCCAGGTCATCGCTGCCACCCCATAATAATATTAAATCGTTTAATCAAATAGGATATGTGCTGACCGCTGAGTCTATCTAACTGCTTTTGTACGCGCCATAAACGAGAACACTCGTGAAATTTTCCTTAATATAGCCTCGCCATTAAAACAGGAAAACTCAGAACAAACTCGGCTGATGGCTGATGCGTATGGCTATGAAATGCAGCACTATTTTCGCGAAATCTAGTAAAGCCCCATCACCCGGTGCAATAATGCAACATGCATACCCTTAAACTGATCGTCGGACTTCACGTCGCATTTTAAGAAGACTGTGCTGTCGGGGCCATACTCCTTATCGAAAGCAGACTTCAGATCCTTCCCGACCGCTTCATTTATGTCCAGCAGAGCCACCTACAATATAGACAAGCCAGCACCGGTCAAGTTTTCAAAATCACACAATTTCCAACTTATTGCTAATCATATGTACAATGCGTATTCGTACGTACCTTTGCACCATTTTTCAAAAGGATCTCCGCAAAGCCTTTTCCCAAGCCCTGCGCTGCGCCGGTGACAAGAGCTACTTTTCCCTGTAACGACATAACTCTGAAGGAGGAAAATAAAAATCAAAGGATTATTATTAAATGACAGTGAAAGCAAAACATGAACATGATTAGCTCGGAATGGTTAATTAATGGGTCATTCAAGTGTAATGTTGCTGCTACAAAGAAAACTGCATACGCGGTTATCTTATATGAAACTAGGCTCTAAGCCTTAACCGTACTCAACTTCCAAGACGACTTCGCACACAGAACAGGGCAACTATACATCAGACACTAAATAGGCAACACCCATCCACCCGTATGGGGGCAGACTTCACGCTACTTTGTACGTGTTCTCTAAGTCCAGGGGTAAGCAGCCGCTTATGACCCCACGCAAGAAGGAGGTCCCCGTAAAACACCTAATTGGCAATGAAAGTTAGACATCGATGGTGGTTTTTATTTATGTTTCTTAGATTTAGTAATTTAAAAAGAAACGAAAGCGCATGTTTTAGCTCTTGTTTAAATGCTCCCCCCCTTTCTTGTGGGAAAAGTGGACTGTTCCATCATCCCTGGACCCTGCGTAGCAGGTAGCCGGCTCAAAACTTGGGGCTTTTACTGTTAGGCTGTTCTTCTATTGATTATTACAGGCGTTATTTGAAACTTTTTGTCTGATTGTATGATTTATGCCCCAGCTTTTATGAGAAAGACTTGGCTAAAACCGAATGAGTTCTTGGCACTAAATGAATCCACTCCAGCTGAATATAGCTATAGGCATAATCCTCGACCCGATCGCAAAGGTGGCGGAGTTGCTGCAATATTTAAGACCGACCTAGGAGTGCGTGAAAATACTGGTTATAGCTTTAGTACGTTTGAATTTATTATTCTAAGTCTTGCTAGCACATCTAAGTTAGGGTGACCAGATAATCCATGTCAGGGAGGACACTCTGAGCTAGGACAGGAATTGTAAACTACCATTTAAATTAAAAGGACCCGAATTTCACTTGAGCAATGAGTTCTTGCTGTGTGCTGATTGGTCAGTCTCCTATAATCATGCATGTGTCACTAATGCTAATGTGAAACAGCTGGATGAGTCTTTCAGTCAAGGAAACAAACCAGTCAAAGCACAAGAAGAGCTGAACTATTTAGCCGAGCACAGGAGCCTTTCAATTTGAA